CCCCAAAACCCCAAAACCCCAAAACCCCAAAACCCCAAAACCCCAAAACCCCTTACTTAAAATAAATAATTGAACTTAATGCCTTTTTAGCGTATTCTAGCTATCTTCCATGATTTTATTCATTGAAAGACCATACTTCTACGCTTTCTGGTTCAAATTGTTTTTTGTCTGGAATCAAGGAATCTAGCTTGTTTTGTAAGAGATGTGATCCAAAAATAAAATGCTCTCCAGTAATTTCACTTGTAACAACTTTGAAGTCATTCATAATAACTAGATCAGTGTCACCAAACTTGATTCCATCTTTGGTGATTGTTTCTTGATAATGCTTCTTACCAGGGACACAGGTGAATCTAAAGTTTTGTTTAAGATTGAACAAGAAGCAGCTATCATCTCCTCTCTTTTTCTCACTGATGCTCCATCCGTGTGAAGCATATCCTCCAACAATGAGGTCTTTGTCTACCTTCATTATGATCACATTAGGTTGTCTCAGATTGAGTCCTTTCTTCTCGAATGCTTCCAGCATTGCTTTGATTGAATAATCTTGAGACACTGGGAAGATCTTCCTAGGCATAGGTATATCAGTGTATTCATAGAATGGTAAATTGAAGTAGAGAATAATCCTATTCACATCACTGAGGATCTGTGACCCCTTAAAAGACATTCTTGAAGGTGTCTTCAACTACAGAAGGGATCACTTGTTCCTGAAAGGCATGATAGTTCTGAGCAAATATTCCATAGAGTGATCTCTGTACTGCTTCTGTAGCAATGGAGTTGACCTGGAACCCTTCTAATTTCTTCTCAAAACCTGTAAGTAAGTCTTCTATCTTCTTCTTTATTTTTGATCTTTGGTCTGGTTTTTCTAGCATTTCTCCACTTCTAAATTCCTTATTGGGATCCTTGTAGGAAGAAGGCATCTGGGACGGGTTGGTTGGAACAAGCGAAGACTTTGCATTGTTAATGCTCGAACTGAAGGGATTGAAACCTTTAAGTTCTTCCTTAGTTGCCTTATTTATCAATTGTGATCTGAACTTCGTTGACTTCTGAGTAATCTGATTTACTATTGAGTTCTTAGAGAAATCCATCACATTCTTTTTCTCTCTGTTGGAATCTTCGATGTCAATATTTCTATGAGAGGAATCAGTAGTGATAATAGGCTTTCCATCTAACTTGAGCTGCACCTGCATCTCAGTGATGGTAGTCTTCTGTTCCTGAAGCTTCTTTTTGTAGTTCTGATAACTTGAAAATATCTTTAGGAAGCTAACAGGTGGCATCTGGTTGGACTGCTCCTTAAATATATTCCTGAACATGTTCTATTTCCTGATTTTGTCTATTTAGTTCTAGAAGGTCACTTTTAAGCATTGTGATCTTCTTCTTGAACTTTACAGATAGATCTTTGAGAGTATTTTTGAGTATCTTGTAGATTTCTTGTTCTAAGTCCTTTGCTCATTGCTCTAATTCCTTCATACGTTCTTTAATTAGATTTATATTTGTATTAATCAAGTTTTTCTTCTTGGATAAATTCGCATCTTCTTGGTTGCAGCGATGTAGAGTTTCTTTATACTTTTCAAAGATATTAATAGTCATATGATCCTTGGCATTATCGCCTGCGTGGTTCCCTATAACCATTCAGTCAACGCAGATAGGTAGGTCACAATTTTCACAGTAGAACTCAAAATCTCTCTCAGGATGGAAGTTGCATTTTCCAAAGTTATTTATGCTTTTCACTTATTGGAACTCTTTCGTGTTTGGAAAGGACTCTCATTTTATCCTGATCTGTATTGTCATTGTGAATCTTGGTATCGCAGTCTTCACAGAGGTAGCATTTATCGTTTCGACAGTAAACGACTGCATTCTCTCGGCATCCTTCACATTCTACAATGTGAGCATCTTCTGGAAGGTGCAACCTTAGTTTGAATTTGATAATAAACCTTGGCTGCACTCTAGTGTCTGAGAAGAGAAAGTATTGATACGAAAGAAGGGAACGCTTCTTGTTAGGCTCATTTTCTACAAAGATGCTATCATATCCTTGAGGTGGTTTCTCCAGGTCTAAAAAGTTATAAATCTGGCCGAACGATCACAAAGATTGGAACAAAACGAAAGATCTGGAATAATAAAGGAACATTTTGATATGATTTTATGAATTTGATTTAGGCGTTAGACTTACTTCCTCCCATTTCCATAAATTTCTTGTGTGAAATTACTAAGGATCTCCCGACTATAATATTTTATGCTCAAAATTTTACCAGAAATTTTGCAGATAATAAATGTGAACTCAGTGTTTTCTGGAATGTCATTATTATCAAAGAGGGATCCGACAGTAAATTTCATTGGTCTATCAGGGTTGATATTGAAGCAGTTTTCAATGTTCTGGTCTTCATCAAGCCTGTCCTGGTTCACCCAGGCTTCCAGGTAATTTTCATTTTCTCCTTTGTTGAACCCAGCAAAACTGTATGGAATCGTTGATAAATGATCCACCATAATCTCTGCAGAAGGAATCCCAAGATTGAGGGTCAGGTTGTACATAATCTGCTTGAACTGTTCTGAATCAGCAGGAACCTGAACGTTCTTGCCAAAGTCATTTGTAAACTTGTTCATATTTATTTTATTCAGAATAACTGCCTAAAGGGGTTTTGGGGTTTTGGGGTTTTGGGGTTTTGGGGTTTTGGGGTTTTGGGGTTTTGGGG